CGAAGAACTTAGGTAGGTTCTTATAAACAGATTCACCTCGTTTCAACCGATGTATTTCGTCATTGCAAAAGAGGCCTAGTCCTATGTTTATGACCTGGCCCAAGTTTTGAACACTAATGAAATAGGCAATAGTTCATCACTTTCTTCTTTAAAATGAACCAAAAGCTGAAGCCATGCACAAGCACTACTGAAGCAATAAAAATATTATTACTCCTTGTTATGGGAAGTCTATAGACCGACCGGCAACTCCCCCCCCCCCCGTGAGCACTACTATCCATGCCAGAGGAGGCAACTACAGCTTCTTGGCCATGTGGTCCAGCTCCCAGAAGGAGTCCCAGCAAGGCAGATCCTGCTAGCCGCCAGCAGGCCTCCACCATACGGCTGGCGCCATCCTCATGGATGCTCCCCCCCCCACTAACCTAGGTGCAGCAGGTAGACCTGCTCCGACTATTGCACTACTTGATGGACAGTGGGCTCCAAACCAACAGGCCTACAGAGAGTTGGTTGCCACAGTCACTTAACTGGCCATGCGAAGTCAAGTCAAGTCAAGTTTTGGCCATTTTCTCCTAGAAAATTCCCCCCATTTCCCTCCAGGGCACAAGACTGTTTAGAAGTACATGTCAAACTGTGCACTACAAAATAAAACAAAACCACACGACAAAACATTGTCTATTTCATTTCATGTCCTCAAATGATGAATAATAAATATCTGAGAAGGTTAAGGGAAAATCACAACATGTCACCATGACCTGAAAGGATAGGTGAGCTGTGATTTGAAATGCACCTGCTGAACAAGCAAGTGACCAATTTTGATGACCAACCTTTTTAATCTTTGACACAAACCTCAACCAATTTAACATGATGAGGGCCTTCGATTTTCAGTGCACTGCAGTTCCACAGACGCACAGTCAAAATTATTCCAGTTTCTTAACGTGATGGTTTTGATGATGTACTGCTAAAAATCCCCTTAAAATTGCGCACACTCCTTGACATCTAGTGCAAAAATTATTCTTCCTGTTATAACACACACTGCTCCTCAATGCCCCACTCTTCCAAGGTAGTCTCAGAGTTTCTCCAGGCAAAGATTTCAAGATAGAAAAAAAAAATCATGGAGCCCAACTGCTCATTAGATAAACCCCTTTCCACAGAAAAACAAAGTACATGTTGAAAATGGATACTGAATAGATGAACTTGCTAATTTAGAGGGACAGTCATGGAGGATTCCAACAGGATTTCTTCTTTTTTTTACCATTAGGAATTCAGGGAGTCCTTCAGCAACATGGTTGGCCTATTGACAGAGGTTAGTCATGTAATGCATGGGATGCTGTCTGATGAATGGCGGGCCGAATGAACTTGGCAGTTGGCGCTTAGTGCTTTCCCAAACACATTTCTTTCTTTGTCAGTTCTGGTTGATTGAAATGGATTACATATTGGATCTGAACAGTTTTCTAGTCTCTGTGTGCTCCAATCTGATTTTTATTATAAAAAAAAATAATGGATAACAAATTTGTAATTTATATTTTTGGCTGCAAATGCATTACAACAGTTACATGAAAAATTAATTTTTTTGACAACTAACGTGATAACTTTACAATATTCTGTAAACACATCTCAACACATACATTTGAAACAAATTATTACTGAGGACGGTCAATAAAATGTTTTTAACACTTGTCATTGTTGCAGAGTTCATTTACTGACAAATCGGAGGATACTAGTTCAGTGCATTGAGGCAGTACTTCCCCAGACTGAATGTTTAAACATCTCGCCTTCCTGTCATCCTTCCCTCCTGAAAAGCTAGCATGGTGATGGACAAGTTGATCTGCACTTTTCACCAGCGAACGGATGCAAATGCATGACACTACGCTGGAGATCTCAGTTGCAGCAGCTATCAGGGGGTCCCTTATACATAACGCCTGATCAACGCCGACATAAAAGACATTTAGTGTTGACGTAGCATTGAGATGGCTAAAGCGCATAATGGCAGGCCCACACAAAGGCTCAAATATCCTGCCAGGTTTGTAATGGAGAATAACTATTTCATCTAGATGCTAAAACCCCGGAATCCCACCTCTGCACAAGAAAAAATTCCTGCAATGCTCAGTAATCTGAGAGTTACAACTGATTTGACTTCCACTTAGGCGTTACTTGATTCTGGGAAGGAGGTGTCTATATCTGCTTAATTTGAAAGTCTACTTGGCAGCACTGGGT